GACAGAATCCTTTCTCTGGTCTGCTCCGTTCTTCCGACGATTTATCGTTGGGACTTCGCAATTATAATAACCGAGAATACCTCTAGGCTTAGCACGCCGGCGTTTCGTTGCATGACAGTGTATGATGCATATGCGCATAGTTTATGAATTCATAGAAGAAAACGTGCACACACAGACGCACATGTATACCTACACACACGCGCATCTCTCTTATATATTTATCCAAGTAATTTCCATTACATTCTTGCGGACAGGCACGAATGCGAAATTTTTTAGCATTATACGAAGCCCATTTAAGGTAACGTGTTGAGTTATAAACGAAGCAAACTAATTGAAAAGCGAAGAAAGAAACTATAGAAATATCGAACCGATAAATACGCGGATTCAAGGTAAATTGAGAAATTAAAATGACGAATGATACATCTAATTACAAGTGTCAGAAGTGACAATTTTTGATACAACGAAATAATAGTTCATAATTGGCAATTACGAATTTATATTGATTATTTCGAAGTATTCCGAACGTCTCTACTCATCTCGTACAAAAAGAAAACAAATTAAAGAAAAAAGAAAAGAAAAGAAAGAGACTCGGAGGAAGAATGAAATCGGAATGACACTGTTGAAACAAAGCTAGAAAATTACAAAGCTAAAACAAAGGTACAAAAAGAAGGAAAATTAATATGTCGGTATTTATACAGGCAGAGCACCGGCATATTACACGTCCATATTTCATCATCGACGTCTTTGAAGGAAAATAGAAAGAGGGCGTTCTCAAGGTGAAAATCAAGTTCTTAAATGGGCTTGAGACACGCGGCGAAGTTTTATTAAGCCGTGGCGACGACGACACAAGTTCGGCAGGGACAACACGAGCCTCGCGTAACGAGCTCATTGTTCCTTCTTATCTCTTTTATCAACCGGATTAATCTTTGCTTCCTCAGCTTACTGGCATGGAAAGAGATTAATCACCAGCGGAACAAGATTCCCATGGCTTCAAACAGACCAAGTTTATTCGACGTCCATCTGGTCCGAACGCCAGATTTCGTTCCTTTTTCTTTATTTCTTTTTTGTATGTATAGAATACAATAATTTCGTCCTTGTTTGCGCGAATAACTGGCCATCGATTGTATCTAGTCTTGCTGAATAATGTGACCGGGTTTTATTCTCTGTCCAGGACAAATATCTGGGGAATTAAGTATTCATGATGCTTCGTGCTTTGCAAGTATAATCCCGTGTCCTTTGCCGAGCTATATTTTTAATATTTTATTCTTTCTCGTGGCAATATGATGCGCTAGATACCTAGATTCTAGATCGAATTTACATTGGTTTTTATAATTCCAGGAATTGAGGATTATACTCGTGTCCCGAAAGTTTCGTGATTAACGTTTGAACGATGGGCCTTTTGTGAAGAGCGATTTAAAAAATTATTTAAGATATTGATACGAAAGCTTAAGAATATATTAAAAAAGCTTTGGTTATTGTTATGTCTACGTACGTTATATATTTAATATTTATATTTAATATTAACTTAATATATTTAATATCTAATATACGTCATTTACGTTGTTTCATCTAATAGAAATTACAACGAGTCGTATACTTTGAATATTTTATATATTGTTGAATAGATACATAGTATATATACGTTTGCAATTCAGTAATTATTTAACATAGAACATATGTTGGCGCGATACGTACGTTAAGGTGTAAATCTATTTAATTTCCCTTTTTATTTGTTTTTATTTCAGTAAATGACCGAGGAAAGTTTTGTGCGCGTTGCTTCATATAACAGAGAGTGGAGTCAGATTTATGACGCGCTTCGCAATTTTAGATACCGGTTAATGAGCTAATTAACACGGTCTTGCGCGGCATTCAATTAAAATGATACAAAAGATAGCGTAAACGCCTGGCTCAGTTTGATCGCTATTAAGTTGCAGCTAATTTGTGTAATGTATAATGCATCGAAACATACGTGGCGTAGAATCTCATCAACCACGGTACCGTTACTTGGAACTTTTGCCTAATTAGTTCAGGCACGAACGAGAATCTATACTATTCTTCTATGTACGTGTTCTTCCTTGGAATAAAGGGAAACTGTATTTTGAATTAATTATTCCTATCATCTCTGATCATTACAATTTTATCATCAACATGTTCTTTATTTAATACTCTTTCAATATTTTTTAAAAAATATATTCACTTCAATACAGCGATCAAACGAAGTTCGAACAAACAAACGTTTTCGCTTCCTTATTGTGACTAGTACGTGCTTCGTTTAAAAGAACTGAAAACGCTGCAAGAAGAAAAGGCTCATCGAACAATTTGTGCGAGCAAGGAACCGTTCGAACGAATTGCACGTTCAAAGATTTTGTTCGTCATAAATTTGCCAGCAAGAAAAGTATACAACAATTGTCAATACTCTATCAGGGAAAAAGTTATTTTTAAAAGACATTTTATCGTATAAAAACATACATCTAAATAATACGCCATTGAATTCTCGTTGCACGAGCTCGAAAAGTATCATACCACAAATATATTCAATGTATTCGCCAGCCCAACCATAAATATAGTGCGTCGTAATATTCCCTTCTTTCTGCGGAAATAACAAAGACGATCAATTTAACCATAATATTCTGGGATTTCCATACATCACTACAAAAGCACACAACCAGGAAATGGAATATTTCCCAGCAAGTAGGTAAATAATGAAAAAGAGAGAAAAGTCGAGAAGAAGGAATACGTAATCTCTTTTCTCATTTCCTTATTTCCTTGTGGTTAGAGTTCTAGATCAGAGGCAATCCTTATCGCAACGTATTTCCGCAGAAAAATCGTTTTGCATGGCCCTTCTATTACGTTGCTCGCGAGACACAAGAGAACACGCACCGGCACAAAATCGTAATCTCTGTTTTACAAGCAGTTTCACTGTTCTGCATCCGCACTCTACTGCTCCTTCTCGTGCTCCCACTCGTTTTCTTCTCACCTATTTTCCTTTCATTCCCATTGTTAAGTTTCTCTGTGACATTCCTTATTTCTATCTTCGATTTTACTTTGTCCTCCTTAGATAAAATACGGTACCCGTTATTTCGAAATTGAAGAAAACCAAAGTTTTATCATTCTTCTCTTGTGTTGTCTTCGCCTTATTTCGTTCAAATAAAGACATTTAGCGAAGATAAGTCGAGACCTAATTTTCATCTTTCAGAATATATTGCAATATCTGAAGTTTAGAATATAAAAATGCTAGATAAAACATTTTAACTAAGGAGAACAGCAACCAAACTTCCCTTTACGTTATTTATGTTATTTCACTTATCAACACAAGAAGCTAACCCGATTTTCTGCCCACGGCGCGTTTTCATCAGAGACTCGCAGGAGATGTAACACGTTGGCGGTGGCTGCGATCAAAAATGGGAGTTTCACCTCGTCATGTTACACGAACGAGCCCACCCTCTTGCATTCTAATGGATCAATTTCCCTGGCCGCGATTTATGGAGCCTCAAAAGCGGCTCATGATACGGTCTTGGCTCGAGGAGATTATGGCTACGTCCCTGTGCTCGAGATTCAAATGTTTCGGGGACTATACTATCGTTACTTCTTTCCTTCTTTTTTTCTTCTTTTTCGATTTTCATCGTGTCGTTTCTGCAGTGTTTCGCTTGCTATTTACGGGAATTTTTGTGCCTTTACTCGCAATTTGAAGATTGAAGAATTCGAAACCTTCCTCGTACGATTTTAAAACGATTTTATAGAAATAATGCATTAACCTTCCAACAGTGTAATAAAATAGCGAAGCATTTAGAATTAACGCTTTAGAAATAATTGTTTCTTTATCGTTAGAGTTTCTCGTATTTCTGGTATCGGATATGAAAAATTTTTCTTTTCTTTCGATTTTCATCGTGTCGTTTCTGCGGCGTTTCGCTGGCTATTTACGGGAATTTTTGTGCCTTTACTCGCAATTTGAAGATTGAAGAATTCGAAACCTTCCTCGTACGATTTTAAAACGATTTTATAGAAATAATGCACTAATCTTCTAACAGTGTAATAAAATAGCGAAGCATTTGGAATTAACGATTTAGAAATAATTGTTCCTTTATCGTTAGAGTTTCTCGTATTTCTGGTATCGGATGTGAAAAATAAGAATTTTCAATTTCTTTTTTCATAGGAAATAAGTATTAATAATTGCATTATGTATGTGATGGCTTCTGTTTTGTCATTTAATAATGATATGAAATTTGTAGTGTAATTGACAGTTCGGGCGAATTTTTCTTGGTTTATACTAGGTTGAAAGAGTCGATCGAGAAGCATAAGAGAAAGAAAGTACAAGCGAGGAAATCTTTAGCATGATAAAGTTAAACATTGCGCGTTAAAGCACATCAGAATAGAAAACACTTGTACCACTTTTCAATTGAATTCCTCAACCGTATTATGGGAAAAGTTTCCATGTTCGACGTTAAACTGTTTAATAGATTGCGACCTAGTTGGAGATAATTTATTTTGTTGCGAATTTCCTAGAGATTCGTTCCATGTGGTTGATTATGTGCAGGGATTAGCGCGATTAATTAGTAATTGTGTTAAATATTCAATTTAAACTCATGCAAATGGTTCGCTATTATTACAAACGTTAGGTTGGGCCTAAGTACAATTCATTCAAAATATCCTATCTGTCATAATAACTATTATGTCCAACATTTCTATCCTATATAAAAAAAGACGAATAAAAATGGAAAAAGGAGGAAAAAGAGATTGGATAGATCAATAATTTCCGCGCCACTCTTCTTTCCATTCACTTTTCGAGCGATATCGAAGAATAATTTATTTAAGTGCTCCCGTTTTTAAATGCCGCCACGTGTCTATCAAATTTCTCTCAATCGCGAGTGCATTTTCAGTACGATCGTACGGAAAAAAGTTGGAAAGAACGCGCCCTGGGTGGAAGGTTATAGCGTGCACTGGTCGTGGACCAGTCGCCAGACAGCTTCCGGTCTGATAGAAAGTCTGTGAATTGTTCTCAGGGGTGGGTGTCTACATTTCGAGGGTGGAGGAGGGTTCGGTGGCCGAACGTGCTGGACTCAGGCCAGGAGACACCATCTTGGAGGTAAACGGCACACCCTTCCGGGCGGTGACCCACGAGGAGGCCCTCAAAGTGAGTTTCTACTTTCATTTTCCAAACCAGAAACATAATATCACCCGGTTTACGTAACGATAAATCACACACATATACACGCGTTGGCGCGTGTTACCAGCTCATTCTATTGCATGCGCCGATCGTATCACAGTAGATGTTGTATTTTATCATTGTGTCATCTCATGTTTTATATTCTATGACAAACATAAGGAAATTTTTGTCGCGCAGAGATTTCGATTTTTATATTTAGACGTCGATCTTTATAAAAGCGACAAGGGTTGGATCAATGATCGATGATACGCTTTGATAAAAATTTGCTTATGTCGATATGTGTGCGATGGAAATTCTATTTCTTTAGATTGTAGGCGTTGATTTGACAATCGTTACAGACTCATGTAGACATGTAGAGTGACTACCACATACAAACCGATACCGTGCCGAAGTCTTCGAATTTTGGAACGTTTCCCTAAACACGATTCGTTGGCTACGTGCCTGATCACGAGCAAAAATCAGTGTTAAATCATTCTAACCATTGGTGCGCAATCGATTGTGAGTGTTTTGTATTTATGAGTGACCTTAAGAGCCATCCCATCGATCGCAAATACCAGCCTGGCTCTCAGCTAAATTATGTGGGCTGGGGCAGACGATTTCCTTCGATAAGTGTTATCTGACGAACGGAACGGTTTGAGCGCTTTTCTAGAATATAAATATCCTTCGTCTCATTTTCATCTTCCAATAAATTTCAATCACAATTGATAAAAGAAGGAAGGCTAGAAAAAGATATTGCAGCCTTGAAATAGATCAAAATTTGAAGATTATACGCTTTGAAATGCATAAACAGATAGTAGAAATATCCAGAAAGTAACAGACAAAAGTAGGCTTTCTTCTTCAAAAGTTCGTTTTGTCTGAATCGGTTTCGATTGATGCCAAAGAGTGCTTCCGGCGGTGTAGTACGGCAGATATCTTTGATCTTTGTTCTCAATTATTCCAAGTGTTCTTCGTCACTTATCATCTATAAGCTCCGCGCTTCTATACCATCTCTTTCCAGCATGACTTGCATAATTTCAAATTTCGTATCAAGAATACGTACAGTACTTCCAACTTTGCGAATCGTTGCTTTAAATCGAACTCCAACTTCCAACTTCCAACTTCGACGTTCAATTCTACCCAATCCCAAAATAAACGCTTGTCAGTTCGGACTTTATCGAAGGAGCAAAAATTGCGTAAGATACCCAGCGCGTTATTTAATTTAACTTGGAAGCTCGTCCGAGATCACGAAGGATTATAGTGAAACTTTCAACTATATTACCGTGTTTTATAAACGAGGTTAGCCCGCCTCCAACGTTAGCCCTCGAAATATCGCTTAAACATTTTACATTGTAATTTTCGAGGAACTCTTCTTATAAGAAACGCCGACACAGCGAGCGTCCGAAACGGTGGTAAACATTTCTTGGAGCTCGATCGCTGTTTCATCTATGAAATTATTAGATCGAGGTTGGCAATACTCTGTAGGTTTTCTTTTAAGATGAAAGAAGTAGAATGCTTCGCCTGCAACTTCTATTAACTAATTTATCTGAAAATTCGTTACTGCTGCATTTTTCATTTTGTTTATTAACACGAGCGAATAGGTTCCTCCTAAATTTTTCTACATGATATCCATCTCGACTAAGCAGAATCAAAATTCGTGGTCTTTTGTACGAAACGAAAACTTTCTCGATGCAGAATGTACCCAAATCATAAGAAACATAAAAAGAAATGACACTGTCACCACACCTTGAAGATAACAATGTAAATCCTATGTAAGAAAAATGTTTAAAACCTTGAATACCTTGAAAATAAATTACTCATTGATATATAAAAAGCAGAGAGAAAAAAAAACAGAGAGTAAAAGGAGACAATTTTATTGAACGACTCAATAGAAGCGCCTGTGCAAGGTTCGAACGCTTGCTTGATAATCGAGGCTCCCTGACGATCCTCTGAAAAAAATGTATCCAAAAGGAGAGACGGGTTCGATCAATGACTTTGTTCGATGGACCGCCAGGTCTCTCTTTCTCTCTCTCTCTTTCTTTGTCCATCGTCGAGGTCTGAAATTCCGCGGTGTCGAGCATGAAAAAATGAGAGAAAAGGGCGAAAGGGAGGGTGAGTACTATCGACTGGCCGGATGGAAAAGAAGCGTTGCTCGGAGCCACGCCACGAGTAATCTCTGGTGTAAACGCTTCTGATGGGTATCTCTGGATCCGGTAGCTCATCATACTCTCGTAGTAGCTCCAGAGTTTCTAGACAAAAGCCCGTCGACAATGGCCCATCAGGGTATCAGACTGGTTCGGTGAAGAGGCACATACCTCGGTGAAAACCGCCTCGGAATTTCGAATACATGGCCCAAGTTCTCCTATCCTCTATCGATGCTGTGTGGCTACTTTAGACACGGGCTATCTCGCTGTTTGGGAACAATAAAAATAATATATTCGACCCTGTTTCAGGGTTACATGTATCTTCACCCTCGAGAGTGACTTAGCCAGAAGGGGAGAATTATGTGTTCGGATTACTTGGTAGCCTCGGTTCGTCGATATTTCTTTGATATAGCTGTAACGAGTATAGAATATTGTTTGGTTTAAAGAAAATTTTGGTGATTTAATGGTTCAGAGCAGTGGATGGTTAATTATTTTGCTGTTGTAGGGTGGAAAGTTGTTAGGAAGGAAATATATTTACGTAGCATACGGTGATGGGCAAAAGATAGTTTAGATTTTTTAGATAAAATTATATTTGATAAGAGTAGTGGATATGTATGTGAAAAATACGAACGTGTACATGCGTACGAATAATTTTTCTACGTTTGTTACGTAGCAGTTAAAAACTGGTTCAACTTGTACAAAGAGCTATTATTAATACCGTAGTAAACACTATGTGTTACATAAAAACTCAACAGAAAATAAGACAAAGACGTAAATGTTCAGTTGCCGAAAAGCTACCCGTTTAAGTCGTCAATTGAACGCGGCTCGAAATAAAAGAACTATCGCCTGTTACTTCTCTGCTTCTCACAGATACTTATCCATCGCCTGTGCGCAAATTCACTCTGGCTCCCAGAGAAGATATCGGTGTCCTTCTTTCCTCCCTCTGTTAAGAAGTTATTGTATTTCTGAAAAGTTTGTGAAAACCAATCTCGAGAGAGATACGGATCGGTGATTCTACTAGTTCGCGGCCTTGAAACTTACGCTTCTCGTTCTATTGAAACGCGTAAAAAAAGAAATCTAGTAGAATAAACAAGATCCCAGTTACAGAAAAGTATCCGTAGAAGTAAACTGCACTGCCTGAGGGTGCTCTTTAGAATTTAACATCTCCAAAATCACAAACAAGCAGGATCTCTCTCTTTCTTCGGTCAATTTTTTCGAGTTGTTCAAAAAATCCGTAGAGTTTTCGACAGTCTATTTATTCTATCTTCTTCTATATATTACATATTTGATAAGATTTGAAGAAAGTTATTCAATACGTACTTTTACAAATTACTGTCTAATTAGTGAAAAGATGGCGCAGCCTTGACCCAGATGACTTCAGGAAATTGGAAGAGCCGCGATTCCTGAATGATTACGATAGGTCAAATGGTTGACCCAGTTCGACAATCCACGGATTAAGTTTCCGGTGTGTTCGCACTGCTTGTACTGGATAACAGTGTCGCATATTCGTTCTCGTAATCAAAACGAAGTTTCGTTGATTCAAGGTCCACCTATCGAGCTCCAATTTCCGCCCCGGACTTTGTACCGTCCTATTGCTCAAATTCCAGTGTCGGCTTGCATACAAACGTTCTGTCTAGGATTGGAATACGTTTGTGGTTTTTCCTCACGTTCGTTTGCGATTGTTACTACGAATGTTTATATTTATTAAGGAACTTAATCTTATTCTGGCACATGTCAAGCACTTTAGGCGAATATCAAAATAATTGTGCATTATACAGGGTGGTTGGTAACTGGTGGTACAAGCGGAAAGGGGGGTGATTCTACGCGAAAAAAGAAGTCGAAAATATAGAATGAAAATTTTGCGTTTGAGGCTTTGTTTTCGAGAAAATCGACTTTGAATTTTCGCTCGGTACGCGTGCGGTACGTTATAACGGATCTCACTGTAGATCGTTGTCTCGATGGAAAAATTAAAAAAAAAAAAGAAAAAAATTAAGAAAAAAAATTTTATTCTATATTTTGTACCACCAGTTACCAACCACCCTGTATACGTATGTTAACAAATGATTACTCAATATTTAAAAAGTGAAAAGGATATTCAGGTGTTGGAAATACGAAATGCCCAAAGTGCAACACTTGTAATATTTAGTAAGTAAAATCTCTATTTAGAATCTATTTTTATTCTTCTTTTCATCTTCGGTAAAAATCCATAAAAAATTCCAAAAAAAAAAGAAAAGAAAGAAAAGACCTAATGAGTGTTGTCGTAAAATAAATCGATCAAACTAGTATTTTAAGGAGATCTTCCTGAAAAGGATTTCTCGATAAAACTCGTCGTGATATGAACGGTGTTCCGGAATTGTTTGCTATTTCGAAAGGTTGTCTCCCGGAGACCGACATCCGGCTCCGGTCTGCTTCTTGTCTGACATCGATCGAATATAAACGCTCGGACGAGCTACGGATTAAATTGCAGTGGCTCGTCGTAAACCGTAACGGTGGCCGTGGCTTGTTATTTCGTAATGGTCGATAGGCGCGGCAAGAGCAAGAAGCGTGGACAGCGCGCGAAAAGTTTGCCAGATTTATGGCGCGTTTTTCCACAGAGTTCATTAGGGCGACGTGGAATTTCGAACCGCGAGATGGAACTTCTGAACTGTACTACGGATGTAATAGACTTTTTGGGGAATTACCGTGCCATTAAACGAAGCCGCTCTAATGCTGTTCAGACACGGTTGCTTCAAATTTCGTCGACGGACAGTGCTCGTGACGTGATAGCGCGGTTATAAATAGCTGATGTTGATTGGAAAGTTTCTCAGAGGAAATATTAAACATTTCATTTTTACATAAACACTACAT